CTTTTATTAAATGATTTTTAAATATATAGCAGTTTTGTGGCTAAATTTATGCTACAAAGAACTTTGTTAATTTGAATTTCAGGGAACTTGGAAAAAAGTTCACATTATTCAATGTTTGAACTATGAAAATGTCTTGAATAAGTTTTAGGAAGTAATTCAATTTTTTGCAAGAAGGAAAATATGTTTATTGAATCATCAAATTTAAAGTTTTATGCTATAAGTAATAGATGTGTATATATATATCCATGGTGCTGTTTTCTTTATATTCCTTTTAAAATCAATTTTTCAAAAATATTTCCTCAAAAAATTGATGAAAACTTCATGGGTTAATTCTACAGAAATAACCACCGTTTTTTTGCAATTAAATATATACATATCTATTACTTATATATATATATATTACTTATAACAAATATTTCAATTTCGTTAAATTTTTGCTACTGTTTTTCTATTTACGTTATAAGAATTAACTGAGGATTTTTTTTCTTATTGTCATTTTAAATTTCTTTTGATTGGTTATTTCTTGTTTTTCATTTTTTAGCGATTTCCAATATTTTATCATCTAGAAAACTGGACTGTCCTATTGAGAGTTTTGTAGAAGATTTTAACTAGTTATAGTTTCGTCGATGGCTGCAGTTTTTTCCTGTCGTAATTTTCCATTATGTCTAGAAGATGACAGTTGTTCCTTTTAAGCTTTATTAGTTTGAAATATATTAAAATACAGATATTCCTCATATATCACGGTAGTCACGCTCCGAAAAAGTATGTGTTACGCAAATCCGTGTTATTCGAAACAAGGACTAATGCGAAACATAGGGTTATGTTCCAGAAGTTAGCAAAAGTATATTATTGTTTTTCGTTACTGAGAGAAATATGTTTAATAAAGCAATCAATATTTTATTTTCAATTAATAATTAACTAACAATCACAATTAAAAGTACTGTAATACGCGTAAATATTAATTTTAGTTAAACTTTTTACAATAGTCTGAGTTTTTTTGTTGATATTAGTCAGAAATATCAGCAACAGTTTATTTTTCTTATTTTTATCATAAAAATTTTTATGAATGACAAAATAAAAATAAAAATACGTTGTTATAGTACAGTAATTGAAAATTTGTTATAGGGGTCCCCGTTTGTTCGGTCGAGTACCGAGCGATTTTTCTCCAGAATTTCTGTTCGAATACCAAATTGTTCGAGTTGGGGACAGTTCGAGTACCGAGATACCGCCGTATTTCGTTCGTAATTCTTAAGAATGATTATTTACCTAAAAATAAGTTTAATAACATTTACCTAAAAATGTTTAAATAAACTTTACTAAATACAAAGATTAATTTGTAAAACTAAAACACGGTGACAGTCTTAATATCTGAAAGCAACGTCAACAATACCTGATTGAGAGGAAAGTAAGTGCAAGGAAGAAAAAATTGTACTATCAATTTTCATTAAAGTGAACCTGACAAAAGGCACAAAATAAATTAAAAATTTTAATATTTTAAAATCCATGGGCAAATTTGAGACGACGCGTATGCTTACTTGAATAACAAACATCGAATAACGGCGTTTGTACTTAAAACTTATGTAATTTTGTACGGACGATTTTCCGAATTCTTGAACCCTGTTCGAGCGAAACCGGTAACCGTGTTGTGCGGGGGATATTTCCAATTTTTCAACCATGTTAGAGTGAAATAGTGTTGAAGTGTCGTGTTGTACGAAGGATACCTGTATGCACGATTAAGGCAAAGAAAAATAAATCATTAGGATTCATATAAATATTAATCCGTTTTATGAACAATTCAAAACTCGGACAATTGATAAAATCACAGCCTCATCGAAGAAAACGATTATCAACAATCAATACACAAAATCCGAAGAAAATTATTCCGTTTATTCGAAAGTATTGTACAATCGAGAATCATCCTTCCGTCACATCCGAGGTTTGAGATCATAGCTGAGGCAAACTGTCATTTCCGGGTAGAACTGTAGATCCGAGTAACAGTGTGTAGTTTGTAAAGGTGTCTAATCAGGAAATAAAGTCATATATCGTTAATTTAATTTGTATTTCCTTTAACGAAATTATAACGAACTGGGGGACTGTGGCATTGGTACAATTGTAATTTCAATATCTTTAATTGCTTCTTGAACTCCTTCAGTTTTTTTCTTTCGACCTTTGTGAGACGAAGTCTGCAAAACAAAATCTAAGAATAAACATTGTGGAAAGCAAAATTGGAATTAAAATTACGCATAGTCTATGAGAATTGCACTTACTGGATTCCTCAGACGTCCGAAAATGTTACTTTAATCGTTCATATCCTGATCTATTTTTGATTTCTTAAAATGGCTAAATAGCATTAAGAACATTTATTCTCTTCAGCAGTTCTTTAGTCCTGGGGATGCTTCTCGGATGAACTGGTTCGACTGGAATTTATTGAGATCGAACTCGATGTCATCTGTCCACATTTCGGCTTGATCTCGTAGTTCGTGCGAGCTAATGTCACTCCGAACATCTTGGATCTATTCCAATGCAGCTTAGGCTTCACCCATTCGATGCATTGGGAGATTATCCGAGGATTTTGAAAGAAGTCCATTAACTTCGAAGAATCGGGTAGAAATCCACTAGTTTCTGAATCCTCCAAATGTTGGGAAAGTTTCAGTAATTCGGGGGTGGCAATCCACCGACTTCCTGATCCATTGGATGCTCTATGCGTTCTTCCGTCTCTTTATCTCTCTGTTCAGCTCTTCGACCAAAGATCTACTCCGAAATTTTCTATTATCTTCACTCATTTTTCTATTTGAAAATTTCAAAACAACTCAGAATGCAAACGCAAAGAAATCACTTTGATTGTTATCTAAGTGCTTATCGATTATTGAAAAAAAAATTGTCTGTAAAGTTCATTCTTCACATCTTTATCTTTTTAGGTCTTTAAGAAATAAACATCATAAGAAATTTAGAATATTTTCAAAGTCATCACACAATTATTTTTTTAATTGCCATATTTTACAGCATATAAGATGGCAAGTTTTGTCCAAAAAACTCAAAAAATTGTCCTGCGTCTTATATGTACAGTACAGTTACTATCTTACTTCGAATTTTTTTTTACATTTGAATATTTTTAACCACTCAAAATTTCAAATTTGATGCCATTCATATCTATATATAACGTGGCCTACGTGAAATTTTATGCTGTTTCTTTTACTTGCAAGCCACATTATTCAAATGCTGTATATGTGGCAAATGGTTCTTTTAAATTTCTTCTGTATGTGGTTATACTCAATTGCATTTAATTTATTCACTTAAATTAATTAATTAATAACGATTAGTATTAAAAATAAAACTTCCATTTTTACATTATTACTAAAATGAAATGTTTCTTTCTATTCATATTTATTAGAATTAATTTACAGTATATCAACGTTTTCTCGGTACACGCTTACTGTATTTGAATTTTATTTATGTACTATATTTTAAATATTTAATAATAATGATGATAATCGATAAAACATTCAATTCTAGTTTTAGTAGCTTCACAGCTTGACTCAAACCACACAGCATACGAGTATGCTTCTGCATAGGCCACTTTCTCAAACGTTTGATTTGATTTATTTGGCTACAGTAACGTGACACACCGGCGATCTTCTGGAGGGAGTTGCCTCCCGGGAAGACTTTTACGGGAAACTGGCTCTTATTTAGGTGTTACAAATATGAAAAAAAAACCCAGAAAACTCCCATATAGCAAGCCCATTGGCGATGCGCGAACCACGACCGAATAGACAAAAAAAAAAACTGAACACTAGTTCAATTTTTTGTTCATTCAGTCATTGGTGAGCACTCTCTCAAACACTCATTGTAGCGTCGTCATTTATATATATATATTTATTTATTTTTAAAACTTTTTGTCCTGCGGGCACTAAGAGGGCCTACAATGGAGTGGCCGGGTGGTGAGGAACGAGGCCCGACATATCCGAACGGACCACCCCCCTGGGGAAGGTTCTAGATAGAATCCTCAGTGATAGAGTACTGTACCATTTAAAGTGGAGAGGAATGCNCGGTCAATCCAGCCAAGACGGCTGGATTGACCGTTCGGCCATCCAGCCGTCTTGGCGTCATTTTTATTTGAAAGCCATACAGCATCAAATAAAATCTTAAGTGTTATTCATATAGGAAAGACGTTGCAGATTAACGTATTTAGCAAATAAATTATTTCAGTGCATTTAAATTTATCATCTAATTTAGAAGATAATAATATTCAGACTATAAATAATAATTTAGATTTGAAAACAAATATCCTTAAATTAAAGCATGTAATTTTATTGAAAATGCTAAAATACACACAAAGAAATCAGTTCTTATCTAAATCAGATATTCTTAATTTGGAAATAACGTTTATTTGTTTTTCCTAGGCCAAGTATTTTATTGAATTTATTATCTTCGTTGAATAAATTGGACTTCAAACGTAAAATTCGTGGAAATGTTACTATTTATATATTACAGTAGTTTATATTCCATATTTCAAATAATTTGATTTAAATTGAATAATTTAAGTTTTCATTCATCATATAAAATAAGCTACTTTCAAAAAATATTTTATTTAATGATAATTTACAAATGTACAACTTTTATTATAAACTTCCTGTATAATGCCTAATCATTCAAAAAAAAAAAGATCAACTTTTCTTACCTAAAACTTTATGAATTTTAGTTACGAAGAATTAAAATTTGGAATCCACAAATTATTTTTTATAGAAATTCATTTTTTTTTTCAGAATGAGATGCAGCAGAGTGCCTGTCTTTTTCATTTTATTATTGTTTTTTGTGTTGGCACGGGCTACTATTTACATCAGTCACTTATATGATTGTTTTGATTATATGCTTTCGTTGAAACGTCGATAAAAGTCCATGAATCGTAGAAATGTCATAAAAAATATTTAAAAGTTAACAGTTGAAAAAAATGAGAATATCCACATTTTTGATGATAATGTTATGATCCGAATTGTTCGATGTTAATTAACAAAACGATCAGAATAGATTCTTAAGTACCATGTTTGCCAACTACAATTGTTAATATCACAATTTGGTACTAAGCTATACACGTTAGACGCAATACTGTACATCCGTTCGAAAAACCATTATATACAAATATCATAAAACAATATTTTTTCATATAAAGAAATAAAACTTACCAATCGATTCAATATATTCTCTTTGTGTCAAAATTTACAAATATGGCACACATTTCACTATTTCAAATCATAATTTGAATTATCCTTTTTGCTGTATATAAATTTTATGACAAAAACAACAAATATTTTTATAAACAAGCCTTTAAAATAGTATAAATGTAACATTTTATATACAATTTGTAATTGCAGTCTTGATCATTTGATGAAGAGATGACAAAAAAAAGGGCTACTCGTCTAAGTAAAGCAGAATTCCTGGCACAAAACGTTTCACATAAGTTCAAAAATTGTGGTCGGAATCTATTTGAGCCCTGAGTTGTCCATTTCTTTTGATTGACGCTTCTCTCAGAGGAAATTTTCCAGGAGATCCATTAGGTGTAAGATTGTTTTTCCATTCTATTTCTGAAACGTAAGTGTTTGGTTTAACTTGGATCATTCTCGATGCGAGTCTCGGATGATGCACAAAATAATTTCGTTTCATATACTGATAAACTGCAACTGCTGCCACTAAAAATCCTAAGAAGAAACTACAGAAGCATGCAGCAATGACATGTTCGGCATGAATACCGTCGTCTTGTAATGCTTTGCTTTGTCCTTGCATAATTATATCTACAAAATATATTTATTGATTAATGACTATAATTAAAAAATCAAATTATATTGAATATCATTTTTGTTTTATATTACCTGCTTGACTTGGAAGACAAATTCTAGTTTCTCTATTTGGACCCTGGCAATGGACTGGACTTGGAGATGGCAATAAGCATTTCCGTCTTCGATGTTGTTCAAGATTCTGGTCACATAATGACCAAATTGACCATTCTTCCCATCCATCTATGATATTCATGGAATATTTAAAATTTTTTTTTTCATATTTTAATAAACACAAAATTATGAGAAGATAAATAAATATGAACAAACAAAATAAAGCATTTACATAAATGTATAGGAGTAATTCAAGATCTGTTTATTAAAACAAATCTTGATTATTCTTCTAGTCCTCGATTTTCTTTAATTATTAAATCTTAATAGACTCCTGATTTGGAACTTCAGGTATAGATATTGTTTTTATTTGTCTTCAGACAAAAATGAAAAATAAATAGTATTATGTAAACGATATGTAAATACTTTTACTTCTTTTTATTTTGTGTGAAGACTAAAATAGCAATTTATATCTATTGAAAACAATTTAAATTTAAAATGGTTTATTGTTTGGTATAGCCATAACAACACACTGAATCGCCTGAATCATTTATACATGAGACTGATTATACTTGTTATTACTTTCTCGGCTGTTATATAACAGAGGAATAGTATGTCGAGGGCGGTTTATAGGCTATATATAGGTGTGCATATGGAGGGGAACGAGTTTGTTCACTCACTTTGGAGCTTAATAACTAATATGTTTTTGTATAAAATTTCCTAAAATTTTTGCAGGTTTGTATATTAGGGGCGTTGATGCTTTAAATTTTGGTGGTTAAAGGTCGAGGAGTCATGTGTCATATCTGGAGTGGGATCAGACTTAATGAAGATTTTATTCATTATTAGCATTTACAATTTTTTAATAAAAATCCTCTACCCTCAAAAATAAGCTTTTTTTCCATTTTATATTAATTAATAATATAAAATATTGTAACAGATGAGGCTATCACAATTTTCAATTTTTTGTCAGGAAAGTTTGCAATTCGTTAATGAAGTTTTAAAATAGAAATTAATTTAAATATATGCTTATAGATTTTATATAGAAGAATTTTAAAATTTACTCACCTGTACAAGGATTAGTATTACAAGTTCTTTCTGCACGACTATGTCCCGAACAATTAGAGCCAGTTCCTGTCGGTCGGGGATTATCACAAAATCTCTCTCTTTTTTGAACTCCTCCTCCACAAGAAACTGAACATCTAGACCAGGATGACCATTCAGACCATTCTCCATCAATATTAACAAATGCTATAAATAGTTAATGAATAATAAATATTTATATGCATAAAATAAAATATGTTTGAAATATAAGATATTAAATTATACAGAAAATTACTTTAAATTCATTTAGCTTAGATTTTTTAAATATTCTAAATAAAAGAAATATTAAATATAAGACGACACATGTCATTTATAGTTGCATTTTATATTTATTATAAAAGCATTATAGCCACAGCCAAATTATTTACAGTGATAAATTATTAACCATCTAATTACGTAACTTGGTCTAAAGATAAAGATAGGATATCACGTTTGGGTCAAATTATGTAATTGGACTGATAATAAGTAGCATAATTATAGCCAGGTCAACATCAACTGAGATGCAAGTGATGCATTGCATCAGGGCACCATGTCTATGCACAACATAGCCATACACTTTCTACTTTTCTAACATTTTATACAATATGTATAAAATACATTCTATTCTTTAAATAATTTCTACAAATCATATAAAGCTTACCTGCATCTAAACAATTCTGACTGCCTTCTAAACAAAACCTTTCTTCTTTTTTCATGTGTCCAATACGAATCATACTTTCATTAGGCACATTTGCCCGACATGTAAATCGAAATCTTTGCTCAAAAAACCCATCTTTTGTGTAATTCACTTTTAACCAAGGAGTCCACCCTGTGGATTTTCTTGATTCTGCACATTTATGCATATTACAATATTTAAAATCTTGATGGCATCCAAAACATTCTTGCCCACCATTTTGTGGTGATGGATTATTACATCTCCTTCGACGAGTTTGAATTCCACCACCACAAATGCTACTACATTCATCCCAAGCACCCCATTCTGACCAATGTCCATCTATTGGAGGTAATGAAGGAACTAGAAAAAATTGCATATGTTATACGTTATAAATTGAAATTCAATTAATAATAGTAATATTTATATGTACCTGGACAAGGTGGATTTGTTGTACAATAAATTTCATCTCGTTCTGGACCTAAACAAACTCTACCACCATATTTTGGAGCAGGGTTTCCACAAGTTCGTCGTCTTGTTTTCACTGATAAACCACAAGTTTGTGAACATGCAGACCACGATGACCATTCTGTCCATTGTCCATTTTCTAATTTTAAAGAAAAGTGTTATAAAAATAAAGTTTCAATTAATATTTTTAAGCATTATTATATTAAAAAAATAAAACTTACGTGTACAATTAGATACTTGAAGTCCATCTCCATCACAATCTTTTCCACCATTTATTGGCTTGGGACTATTGCAATATCTTTGTCGACATAAGCATTTGTCTCCTGGTGAGTTTTTTCCAATTTGAGAACATTCAAACCAATTAGACCAAGAACTCCAAGCACCATCAACTAAAATAAATGTAATGTATAAGAATCAGATTATATACACGTGTATGTTTTTTCCTTATATACTTTTCCAGCCAATTAAAGATAAGTGCATAAAGTTCAAATATTTTAAATTTGAACTAACTGGCATTCTTTTAAAGTCCCACAAACGAACATATTTTTGCGTAGCCAAGAAAATCTTTCGTTTTTTTCAAGTTCTCAAAATCCTTTGAATAACTGAATTAAACTATTATAAATGTTATATTTATTAATTTAATAATGTTAAATCTAAATCTTTCAAAACATCGTGTAAATATAATGTTTATTTAAATATAAGAGCAGTAATTTCTCTTATGAGTAGTCAAACTTCTACATATGAAGCATGTACAGAAAATATTCCATTATATTGAGTTCGATTCAACCAACAATATGGGTAAAACAGCAAAACTAATGCTGAATTGGTAAGAATGTATGCATAGGAATTTGTATACAAGACATAAAACATATTAAAAAATTCACTATTGTAATGTATGCAACAAATCATTTCCTGCTAAAAAAAAAATTTCAAGTGTCTCAGTGTGTTGAATCATCCTTACATCAGTGCAATGTGAAGTATCAAAATGAGCCATAAATAGCAATTGATCACAGGCAAGTTCTAGTCACACTGAAACTTATTTCAGTAGAGTTTATGATATCAGTTAGGAAGGAGACATTAGGCCTACTATCAACTTCCACACTAATCTATAATTAGCTAATAACTTAATAAAAGCGTTTACCCATTTCTCATCATTTGTACAGGGTTATAAACAGAAATATACGACTACTTTAAACCAGTGATATAACTATAGGACTAGGGAAACTAGGGATAAATATAGCCTACTTTTGGAACTAAACTTTGATCAGTTTGATTCCAAAAGTAGGACTTTGATTGTATGCATTTTATCCTACAAATTTTATTATATATTACTGGCGTTTTATTTCATAATGCACATTTCAGTCATTTTATGTATGCACATATATTGTGATTTAAAGGCACCTGGCTCTTAGTGGCATGTTATCCTATAGGCAAAAGGGGCAATTGCCTAGGGTCCCCAAACTAATAATTATAAGAAAATATTTTATAATAAATTCTTATAAATAATTTATAAGAAAATATTTTCCCCAAAAAATTCCCCCAAGAAAAATATCTGAAGTCAGCATGTATAGGGGACACCCTAGTTCAAATTTCCTTGGGTTCTCCATGAAGCTATAAGGTGCAATTACTCTTAGTAATGTATCAATACATTAATCAATAAAAGTAATATTTTTACAAAAAAATACATTTTTTGAGACTATACATACAGAATGAGTCAATTTCATTCCATCCCTTCACATGCTGTTGAGGTATTTTATTTATGATTATTTTTAAAAGTAATAATATATTGCAAACAAAACTTTAAACTTTTACTTATTTTTGATTTTTTCAATGAATTTTTGCAAATAAAGTCAAAAAATTGAACAAAACAGGTTTTGAAGTAACTGGAACATATTGTTAGATATTATTCATTATAAATGTATACATTAATAAGCAACATTTATCAATCAAAAAGTTTAGTATAATAAAATACATATGAAAGAATTTCAGTTATGGAAATTATAAATCATTTAAAAATTATTTACTTTTTATTGAATTAATCGTTTAAAATCTTAAAAATTGTTAACTAGTCATGTATAACAAAGTGTAATATACAGTAGTTCATTTTTAGAATATAAGATGATATTTGATAAATGAAATGAAATTGAAAAGCATTAGAATTCATATAATCTAAATATAGATATTAATAAAGAACATATAAATTAGGTAAAATATTTAAAAAAAAATAATATGAATATAGTTATCATTAGCTTATTATTAAAAATTTTCTATTAATTAAAACTAGTCTATATTCCTGTTGTTTTCTTCAGATAAGAAAAAAATCATTAAAAGGTTAGCAGAATGCCTTTCAGTTACTTGGAAAAACTTTAAAAAAAATAATGCAGTCAGTTTTGATGTAATACTGCATTAAAATGTATTTAGTGATACAGATGACTCTATAATAATTCATATATTTGATTACATAATTCCATTCTTACTGTCTTGATTTATAAAGAAACATAGAAGAAACTGTAGTTATATTGTTAAAATGTTAAAATTGGTATTGAGAGTAACAAAATTTTATTAAGAAATAATGTTATAATCATTAAATTTTTGCTTTTATATTTATTTTGTTTGAGTTAATAAAATCAATACAAATTATTAATACATAATACTAGTGTTATATTTCATAATATATCTTTCAATTATTAAGCTTAATTTAATTAAAAACTTATTTTTTTTTTTACCAGGTCTATTTATTCGTGGACAAGTTGTAGCATCTTGTTCCCAAAATGCACTGAGAGGATTACGATTTGGTGCAGTTGTACAAGCCAGCTGATATTCATTCCATCCACAATAAGGATCCATAGCATTGAGACATTCACTGAAATATGAAATTTATTTATAAAGTAAAAATTAAATATATTCTGTGTCTAATAGCATTTATTAAAAGATTTTACCTCCTTGTTCGAAATCGTTCACATCTATGAAGTGGTATTCTTAATACAGCATTATCAGTACCAATATATAATGAACTCTGTAATTAAGTACATACTAATGTAGATCTAAAACATTTAAAATTTTAAAACTAATATTTAATGAATTAATATAATAATAATAATAAATTAATTTTTGCTTACAGTGTCTCTTAAGAGTTTCAGCACATAAATATGCTGACGATGATTTTTTGGAAATAATTGTATTTTTTCCACTAAACAAGCCTCTTGTGTATTTGGAACTACTACTAACTTTTTTATTATTCCTTGAATATTGGCCACAAAAATTACATGAATACCATCATGATGTTTAGTTGGAACAACATCTACGACGATATGGCTTAATCTGAAATAACAATTTAATAAATTGAAAATTATTATGTACTATCAAAACAAAACAGAAATGAAATTTAAATTATCAAAAATGTATGTTTAAGTTATTAAATACTATTTTTAAAAGCATTAAATTTCAAATAAAGATTAATTTATAGTTTTCAAACCTAACTCAGTATCAGTAGTTTATAAATTTATATTAATACATTTATTAAACTTTCAATATTTGTAATTATAACAGGAATGTTATTTAAACATTTAAACATGTTTTTTTTTATATTTACAAGTTAATTCAAACTAACACTTCCATCTTTAATAGTTAGTTTCAGTAAATTACAGTACATACATTCAAAAATAATCAGAGAATTTCAAAAAGGTTAAATAAGAAAAAAATGTTTTAAAGAAATACATTTTTTAAAATTCTATAGCATACACATTATATTAAATATAAAAATATACAAAGCAAAGTATTTTATATTAAAACAGAATAAATAAGTACAAAGAGATAAAAAGTAAAACAAGATCAACTTTTAGGAAGATATCTTCATTAGTTTGAAAGTTTCTTTAGATAATAATACAAGCTAATGAATGTATCATATCATGATTATAACAAACTGATATGCATTCAAAACTTTTATTTATACTAGATTAAAGTTAACTAAGCAATGCAGGTATTTTTTGATGATAAAAATCTGTATACTTTAAGTGAGAAAATGTGAATTTATTGTATCAAAATACGTCTTTGCATCACTTTATAGAGTGATATCTAATTTTTAAGGATCAATTTTATACATAAAATCGATCAAATTATCAGACAAAGTATAATTATCAAGAATTATAGTAGTAATAGTAGAAAGGTACTGCACAAGATATGAAACACTTCTTAAATCAAGTCTGACTAACAAGTTGATCATGGTTTGATTTTGTAGCTAATGTAGCTTATTAAATTTCAAAAAACATTTATAATTTCCACATGAATAATAATTCTATATTTTCCACAAATTTTTTTAACTATCATTATGGATTGGTAATGCTATGCTCAATAAAATAATGCATTATTTTATTATTATTATCTTTCTTTATTTTTGATTGCATAATGAAAACAGTACATGCAGACTGAACACAAGGAAGTGGAATATGTTCTTTATATCAATAGTCATAGCTGGGTTATATTATTTTAGATATTGCTTTGTTGTATCCTACACAATTTCAATTTTGATTTTCTTAATGAATGGAAATGGAATACTTTTTTGTTAGGGTGAAAGATAAATACTACTGTCTAATTATAATGCCTTAGTATCTTTACTAAAAAGTTTGGTAATCTGAAATGTCATTATCATGTAATAAATGTGTAACTATGTTTTGTAATATAATTTTATAAAAATATATTAATACACTTTTATAAAAGAAAAATGAGCAATTATTTATTGTGACTTTGTCACAATGCCAGGCTGTAACTTTTAATCATCTTTTTAATTTATTTAATTTAAAATATATGCTCTCCACCTCAAATTAGTAGTGGCTTGTTCCTGTAAATCATACTTTTCCTGTTAAAATAGAGTCATGACAGTCATCTATCTAACACCTTTCAGGAGAAAAATTTTTGAATTAAAATAACATGACTTCCAGTTTGTATTGGAAGTTCATATACAGTTAATCAGGGCCACCTGCCCCTAAGGTTTCCATATGTTGTGTCGGATTTCATCTATCTAACTCTGTTCTCAAGATTAAGAAAGACAAACAGACAGACAGACGACAGTGGTAATTTATAGGTTATATTATATTTATATTACGTTATTTGTTAACAATCCATTTTTCATTCACTTTAATATTGAGAAGTATAGTACACTTTCCTTAAACCATCTTTTTAAATCTGTCTAAATAAATTTTCAAACTAAGTATGCTATAACCAAATGGAAATTTCTTGAAAATATTATACAGTTTGTTCATTTTTAATGTAAAAAACTAGATATTCCATTTTAATATTTGTAATTTAACTTATTAAATTTATTCCAGATTTGATTCTTAATTAATTTACATTTTTATAATTTTAAAAAACTGACTTGAAAATTATTTTGATTATTTAAATGATTTTGAAAATCATTTTTTGAATGATATGTATTTGATTTTTAATTATCATTAATATTTACTAATTATTACATGAATTCATTCATACAAAACATCATTGTATGGATACTTAAGAACAGACCTTTCTAATTCTGATGAAAAAAGTGGCTTAATTGTACTTGACTGTACAGCTTGATCCATTAATTGAAATCTTTCAGAATCTAGTAAATGTTGAGGATCACTTTGCACATTACACTGAAATTAGAAAAATAATCAATATTTTAAGTTTCACAATTTAACTTATTAAAAAAATTATGTAAGTTTTAAATAAAATAATAATATTCATTAAAATCTGTATTTAAGTAAATATCAAATAAAATAAATACACTCATCTCTCAATTTATATGATAGATAAGTACTTCAATATTACAATATTATATAGAATAACGTTTCTATCTTTATATAATTTTTATTTATGTTATGAGGTAAATTCCTAAAAAACTTGCCATTATTTTAAAATTTACATCGTTTGTTTTATTTGGATATACAACATTTATTAATTACAAAATTTGATTTAGTCATAAAGTTAGGTATGACAAACTCAATAGATTCAATTAAATTCAATAGATATATAGTATTTGTTATTTGACTAAAATATGCATCAGATTACTCAATGACACTCTCAGGATTTAATCTTGAGGGAAGCCTAGTTGGACAGATAAAAAATATTTTGATGTAAATTCAATAAAATTCCCACCTTAAGTGACTACTAATTTGTAAGTAATATAGAAATAGACAACACAACACATTATAAAAATGAAATTTAATTAGGAAAATTTTCAGGTTTTCCTCTCTTCTTTTGGAGGGTTCCAGACCTCTTGGCTCCCCTCTGGGTATGCCACAGAGATAACAACACTTTAATTAATAATAATATAATATAGAGAGACTGATACTAAAGATAAATATATTGGCTTTATTTAAGATAAACTATTTATAATATAATAATAAAATTAAAAGAAATGAAACTGAATTTAGATATATTTAGGTTAGTAATTACATTTATGAAATTTTAATTTTCTATCATTCATTAAATTCAGATTGAAAAAATATTATAATAAATTTCTAAATTTGAATAAAATCTGAACCATAAATAACAAGTATTAGTAAAAATGTTATTAATGATTAGTAAATTAAAGCTGAAGCATTAACAACTATCACAACTAAAACAACAGTAACATTAAGAATATAAAGCTACTTTAGCATCAATAAACCAGAATATTTTCTCAATAGTAGTAGTTAAAACTAGTTAAACATAAATTAAATCGTCACTAACAAAATTAATAAGCAAGTCATTATCATTATAATTATTGGAAAAAATAAATTGTAAGCTTATTCAAAAATGCATTTAGATGTCATTATTATTAATAAGTATGTTATTTAATGTATAATGCTAAAAATAATTTCATATTTGCAAAATCAAATTTTTTATCATGTAAATGAAATACACTTGCATTTGTTTGACTATGTAAAGTCAAAACTATATGAAATGTAATATCATACAGATCACGTTTAGAGTATATAAATTATATTAAACATTAAATTTTGTCTTATTTTAAATATTACCTGAAAATGTTTATGAGAATTTGGATGTTTCTCCCATGTTGATTTAGGATTTGTTTGATGTTTAAAAGGTCCATTGAAAGAATTATGAATAGATGACATGTTGAAAGAACAAACTGCAGATCCATATATGCTATTACTGTAAAATACAGTTTAATTAATTTTAAGAAAAATTTTCATAATATGCAATTTATATTTTTTTGTTTATATGTTTTATGATCAAAGTGTAAAGAATTTAATTAAAAACAAACTCAATCACTTATTGTCTTACAAAATTAACAATGTAAGGGCTTACTAATTAGAAGTATTTTTTGTGTACTGTATTCAAAAAATAACTGTCCAAAAGTCAATCATTCTGTTTTAAAGATTATGGTAATTAGAAAGTTTAAAATGAAAACACAAAAAAGAAAACATAAAAAAAAAAGTTTAAAATGATAACACATATTACAAAATGATTTGTTTCTGTTACATTTTATTATCTAACTTCAACATGAAACAAACCTTTCGTATTAAAATAACTACAATAATACACATTTTTATTCTTATTGTATATACAGGTATACCTCGAGTTACGTCGTTCCCGATTATACGTCGTTTGTCAAAAAAGTATATGGAAAAATAAAAGTCAAGTTTAAGTCATTTTATTTGACTTTACGTCTGTCCGCCACAAATATTGTAGTCGTAATATCACTATAAAAATGTTTAAAGCACATAAAATCATATTAAAATATGTACATTTACAAGTATGTACTGTATTTTCAGTACATGCATTCGTAAATTTAAATTATGTTTTTCTGTACTATATTAAAAACTAAAATTTATTTGTTCGTAAGCTTAAAATAGATCCTTATTAACCATATATTATTAAAGATGCATTAATAAATAAAACCAGAATTGGTAATTTATGGTTTAGCCTAGTGACAAGTAGATTCGGAAACAAGTAAATTCGACTTACGTCGTTTTTCAACTTAAGTCGTTCTCCTGGAACCAATTACAGACGTAAGGCGAGGTATACCTGTATTAGCTGTATAATAAATGATGTAAAAATTGTTCTTATATATGAATAAATTCACTAAGGTATAAAAAAAGAGGGTTAAAGGTGATATACTATATAAATCTTTTATATTCATAATTTTTAACCTGAAATGGCTGTGATTGTCTGTTTTATCTGAGTTTTCAGTTATCTGAACATGGGCATTTGCAGAGAGGGGCAAACAGGGCACTTGCCCTTCTCTGAGATTAAGTAAAAAATCCACAAATTATAATCATAAAACTGATTGAGATATGTAATCTTACACTCTTGACCACTAAATGCATTGATTCAATACTGCATTCTATTCTCTACTTGTGAAAAAAATTAATTATATAAAATTTATTAAATATTTTTCTTCAAGTTTTGCCTGCCCCCTGGAAAATTTTCTGTGGCTGCCCATGTATCAGTCCACATTACCTCATACAATCATAGTTTCTACTGTATCTTCAATAGTTTTCTAGCCCACTATCCATTATAAAAATATGTTTTGTGCTCCTTTTAATGTGTTAACAACAACATATGATTAGTAATAGTTCTATAATTAATTATGCCATTATATTGAATAAGAGGAACATTTTAGACCTAGAATGGAGCATAAGTTCTTTCAAATAAAGACTTATCAAAGGAATAAAGACATGAGTAAATAACAAGTTGAAAATGTTAAACTTTTGCTTACTACAAATAAAGATATAATCCTTTTTTTGTTTTTGTTATTGTGGAATATAACTTGAAAAAGCTTTAAATATAAAAGCATCTGTATTCTGTAATTTAACAAATTTTTTGATTTTGCACATTTTCTTAACAATGATTTGTTTAAAACTTCTCTGTAATTTTCAGATATTTACAAACTAGTTTCAGAAATTTAATTAGTTAAATATTTACATTTTATGAAATGATAAACAAAAAGCAGCATAATAAATTTGTTTAAGTACATAAACAAAAAGCAGCATAATAAATTACCTAAATTAATTTTAGGATCAACCAATAATCAAGTTTTTATTACTTTTCCTTTAATTAAAAAACTGTACTCTTAAGAAATTATTGTATATATTATAACTTAAAAAATATTTTTAAAAAAACAATTGTAAATTTACAACTTAAATTCTGTAATTGTTAAAGAAACAACTTAAAATAATGTTTAAAATATATTTATATGACAGTATGGGTATGTTTGTAAAGTCAAACGAGTTAAACGCATTAGTAATGAATCGTTTTAAAAGTAGTAGTCTTGCTCAGTGCACATGCTCTGCAGTGATGATATTTTGAATGAAACTCTAACAAAGTTCACAAAGTAAAGAGTTAGTTCAGTTTGTTAAGAAATGGCGCCAACAATATCAATGTTACTAAATCTACTCAAGTGTTTAAACTATGAATTAAAAGGTGAAATGATAGAAATAACTATCCACCCGAAGCAAGAAAAATATTTCAAATAAGGCTGCAGTATTTCTTAATTTACTTCATTCATATCTTCGATTTTAAAAACAGCCATTTAGTTATAAATGAATCGTTCAAAAAGTCTTAACAAAATAAGAATAACGATGATGTCATTCTTGTTTAACTAGTTCGACTTTACAAACATACCCTATATTACTGTATTCAGTTTATTTTTTTGTAAAATAATTCAAAACATTTATAATTCATAAGATTTTATAATTGCTTCATCTAATATAATGTATGATTGAAATATATAATTTATTAACAGGAATTTTTAAAAATAATTAATAATTAATAGATATTTTTGTTACTGTTTCTTTCTTACAATGAAGAAATAAATTATTATGACTAACTTACTTCACAGAGTTGTTGTGTTTAGTAAATCAAATTATTTTATTAATTTTGATAGAAAAAACTAATGAATCTATTGATGTATTTTTATAAAAATATTAATTATATTTATCTCTTATAGTTAAATAGTTATAATATTAAGTTAAATTTGAAACATTAATATAATTTTTTATAAATTAATTTATTCCTACTTACTCTGGTGTATTAAATGTAGCATATATCATTTGTTCTCTTTCTAAATAGTAAACACTTTGAATTTCATTATAATAAAATGGATAATTGCCAGGTATAGAACAGTTAAGTTGTGCTTTAAGAAATGTAGTCCATTTATCTTTTAACATATACTGACCGCCTTGATCATTTGTACAAATTCGTGCAATTCTAGAATAAATAATCTGCAAGAACAAATATAATACACATTAATTATAACAAGTTCATTTAAAGTATATTTTTTAATAAAAAAAATATATAAATCATTAATATGTTTATTATCATTTTGATTTGAAATTGAAGCATGTTTCAAGTTTGCTGAATGCTGACATTTTTTTTAAGTTTACAGAAAAATTCATAATAATAAGAAGTTGTCTTGTTGTATAATTTTCCACATATTAATCACTCTCTAATATTCTAATCATTTAAAAATATCCTTTAAAATATATATATAGCTTAATCAAATACAATAGTTTAGTTGTTATCTGTTTGAACTGATGAATAAGATCATCTTGTGAAGAAAATTTAAGTGTAATAAGGAAATGGAAAATCTGCAAGAACAAATATAATACACATAATAAGCAAATAACTTTAGCTTTCTAGGCATATAGCATATAGCCTATTTGTCTACATATCTAAAAGATTGAATGTCCTTATAAAATATTATCTGAAGTAATGCCAAACTTTCTTTGAATGATTTCTAGTCACTGAATTTTCTATTTTTAATACACTAAAAATAATATAAAAATATCAAATTAATATATAATAGTAAAGAATGTAATGAAATAGAAATTAAGAGATCCTGCAAAATTTTTATTTATCATCATAAGACATTCATTACTATATTATAGTATTTCTTAATTTACTTCAGGGTTATATTCCAGAACATCTTGCTCAATTTAAATTCAAGCCTAACATAAATAATCATCAAAAAATGTGAGAGTAGATCTAAGAAGATAATGTTTGCATACTAGTTAAGTTCTCTCCTGAAATATACCCTTACAAAATAAGTAAAAAATAAATTTTTTACTTCCAATCAAAACATGACAGAGAAAATGGTGGGTTATATTTACAGCAACTGCATGAGAAACAGCATAATAAGTGCGGCTTGATATTTTAAAATAATGCAATTTAAACATGCTATATATATATATACTGTAGTTGTAGTATTATATATATAATACATTAAAATATACAGTGTGTATATATATGAAGTATATATACTGTATATTTTATACAATATATGTACAATGCTCTTTTTTGTAGTCTGCAAGCACCACTGCTATCTATTATTTATTATTATATTTTATTTCTGAATTTAAGATTAGATATTAATGTTACTATCTCAAATTCAAAAATAAAATTTAAAATATCAATAATCAAATAAATTTTTCATATATTTATTACCTTTCCACAGTTAATAAATTCTACTGCTGGTTCTCTAAAGAAAAAGTATGTGAAGTTTCCTATTTCAAAAGATGCTACAAAATTTGGTTCTGTAATAAAATAGTTATAATTAAGAATTGATTTTTAATTAATGACTTTTAGATAATTTTATAAATATTACTGACTCCTATATTATTTAAAAATAAAGTTGCATATTCTTCAGTACTGTATTAATATATATTAAATTATATTACCTATATTCTATTTCTCAGGCAAATCTATTTACTGTATATATATAAAATTATATTAAAGTATATAAATATAAATTTCATTTAATGATTCACTTACACATATATGTAAATGAATCATGTAAAGTTTTACCAAATATAAGCTCAACCTTTTATGATCCATGAGGATCATAAAAGCTTGAGCTGCTCTAAAATAAACAAAAAATGAATTATTCACATTATCAAGTCAAACTATTACACAATACTTAGAGAGCATGGTTAAAAAAATGTAGCATTTTTTTATAAATTTAAACTCAATTAAAATAAGAAACAAGTATGAAAACAATAGTTTTTGCATGAATTAATTAATGATGTGGTTGAAATATACTTGCAATATAATTTCTAGTTCTATTGAAAATAATCAGTTATACATTTCTAGAAAAAATTATGAACATTCTTGTTTCAGTTTGACAAGTATATTGACAAGTAGAGCCATCAGATCAAAAAAAAAATTTTTAAAGCTTTTCTATCTCTTCCTTCTTCCTGTTTCTAAAAATTCTCCAGAATTCTCTTTCTCTATCTTTCTCTCTTTTACTATCTGCTGGATTATCTATCACCTATATTAAGGCTAATAACTAATTAAATAATGAGATAAATAATATGAATATGTCCAGTTGTTGTTTACTACACACACACATATATATATATATATATATTTTTTTTTTTTTTTTTGGATTGGAAAAACAAACTTGATTATGTGAAGAGCATATAATACTCAAAGTTTGATGGCTCATTTTAATACTTATCAGATTAATTGAACTGTGAGGTTTTAGTTTTCATGAATCAAAATCAGAAATTTATATCAAACTTTCTTTAAAATTTTGGAAACTACTTCTTTAGATATTATAAAAGTAAATTCATTTTCCTTATTTTTTGTTATCACAATATGAAGTTTAATATATTGATCATTGTTTCTCAAAAATCTTTTAAGTAATTTTATGTAAAAGCCTTTAATTAAAGCAGGGGTTGCCAAAGTAGTCTATATTGACCCACAGGGGTCGATATAACATTATTGGAGGTCAATGAAAAGACTAAAACTTACAAATTTTGAACCGAATATTGCTGATCTTGATAAGGATTATCAAGCTTATCCGTCTCATGGATTGTCAGTTACAAAAATTATTATTAACATATGAAGAATAAATGTAATAATGTAAAATTAAAAGATATATATTAAAATAGTAACAGCTTTTGTTTCGTTGTAACACAAACTTTTTGATGGGGGTTGATATGAGGTTTCAAAAAGTTGTAGGGGGTTGACGATCAAAAAAGTTTGGCGACCCCTGCTTTAAAGTGTCTTCATTAGGAGTACTTAGTTCTCATCCATATTTCAAATGAAATGCCAAAAGAAAAGCAATCTGTTGGTACTGTATGAAGTACATATCTTTTAACTGACAATAAATATGAAAATTTAGTATAAATTTTCTGTATGAATGTAATAAATTACGTCCTTGAATAATATTGACGATGTGTCAAAGCTATTAATAATTTGATTAACTTTGAAGCATCCATAGGATATGATTTATATCTTTAAAAGAAAGTTATCAAACAATTACTGAAAAACCCTTAGGTTCTAAATTTATGGTTGACCAACATTGAGTTACTTCATTATTTTTTAATAACCTGTAAACATTTTAATTAATATTTATTTGCAGATATAAATCATTTAAATTTAAAAATTTACTAATATTAATACTAATATATAGATAATCTACTTAAATATATATAAAACATAAGCACTTACTATTTAACCATTTTGGATCATATTGCACAGTTCGTAGATAGGGTCCTTTGCCCATTATTCTATATATTGCATAATCTTGTGCTGAAAAATCTAATGGTGATGCAATGTAATAACTACCCTGAGATGTCATTAGAGCTGTACTGTTATAATTTGGGCTGTAGGGACATTTTCCAATTCCTGTTACCCATTGAGTTACTGAATTAATAGCTGTAATCTACATTGAAATAAAAATATTATATTTAATTTTCAATTTTAAATTTACTTAAAATATAAAAAATTTATTTTTTCTAAAATTAAATCTAATACATCTAGAATTAAGTCTATAAGTTTTATAATTTAAAGTTTATAATTAAGTTTTATATATACAATGAAATTTTAATTTTATATTTTTCATGATTTTAAATTTTTTATTTTTTGACCTGAATTAAAACTAATAAAAATAATATTAAAATTTCATCTATAACTCTCAATTATATTTTGAATATGTAGTTTAATGGAGAAAACTCTTTCCAATTATTTATATATTGTACTTATATTACACAGTTTTTATCACAATCAATAGTGCTTTATAATGAATTTTAATAATTAACCAGTAAAATTTAAATACCATCAAGTCTTACTCATTGTCAAATCATGAGTAACATCAAGTTACTACATGTGATGTTACTGATTTTACAATTGGTTATAATTTTCTATAATATGCTGTTTTATTATGAAATCTTAATTACACAAAATACTATATTTATAGATCATAAATGTTCATTATTTACAGATCATTTGTATTTATAGATCAAATAAACAATATATATGTGATATTATAGAAAATATTTACGAGAACTTTACATTTATGTAAGGATGTATTATAACAAAGAGAAGTGCTCATAAAAACTTCAGATGTTTATTGTAACACAAAACAGATTTGTGTTACATTAAACATCTGAATAATGATTGTTGTTCCCTAGTTTTTATGAGCACTTCTCTTTGGTATAACAAGTCCTTAAATAAAAGTAAAGTTCTCGTAAACATTTTCTATAATATTTATAACAAAGACAAGAAGCATTAATCATAGTGTATATGTGATTTTATTTTGTTCATAAAGGAGTAAATTTTGGGTAAACTTCAATTCTTCAGTTTATTTCTTTTTCAATAAAATTTCTACAAATGAAAATGGTTACATGATTAAAAAATATAATTAAATTAACTTTAGATCCCTGATTACAAAGATCTTAGACAAATTATGAGAAAATGGCTTGGGTATGGATTTACTGTAAATACATATACCTAAAGATTTATGTGAAATGGAAATCTTTCATAAATGTTTACTTTTTATTTCTTAAAAAACTTGCATAAAATAATAATAAAAATTGTAATTTCCATGAAAAGTTTTTTGTTTGCTCAATTCTGTATTTCTCTGGATTTTCGGCTTGTTTCACTTAATATTTTGAAAAATATAGGCTAAAATAGGAGTTTTATTATATTATTTAAATATTTAGAATTATATATTAAAATTAACTTACATCTCTCCATGTACATTCTGGTGAAAATGCATTAGTCCCACAAGTGAAAATTTTATTATTGAAATATAATAGGACACGAATAAAGTTCTGGCATTCCTCCTAAATATTTAATTAATGAAATTAGAACAATCTAATCAATAATTTATAATTATATAAAATACTTTATAATAATACTTTTGTTTTTCCTTTTAATTTACAAGTTGTGACTGTTGATTCTGCAGCAGGCCAATGTGCTTCTTCCAATTTTCGTAATCCTTCTAAACTTAGCCTGAATAAATAATCTCTGAAAATATACTTAAAAATTAGTTTTTATATTATAAAAAATTAATTTTTATACGTTTATAATACATTTAATGTTTTTACCTGGCGCCTACAATTAGTTGATAACGCGGAACATCAAAAAGAAGCTCAGTATATGACCCAACTTCAGATTGAGTAAACCTATCAATACTGTTACGAAGATCTAATAATAAACATAATAATAATAATCATTAGTTTTTTAAAACTATAATACATTCTCTAGAATTATATATATATACAGTAATTTAATTTATACAGTATATACATATATATCGGAAAATTACTGTATATATATATTACGCGAAATTTTAATAAATAAACTATATTAAATTAAAACTTATTTATTAAAATAATTCATTATAGTTACTAGCATATAGGTTTATATATATCATAATGATCATTGGCGTAATCATGAAGAACCCAGGGAGTCAGACCTCCCTTCGGAATAAAAAGTTAATAAATATGCTAAGTATAGGAAAACTAATTTAATTGTGAAATTAACTACCGAGTAATTTATTTGTTTGTTATAATCTATTATATAGATATTAAAAGTAAAAATTTATTAAAATGCATAGCGATTCATATTAAATTTTAACTTGGACCCCTACTTTCGGATCTGGTTACGATATTACTAATGATAGCATTTATAATCTGTACTTTGATATGTAAATTTATTTGAAAAAAAAGATTATATTATTAAGTCTAACTTAAAACTTAATGCTTAAAGTAAATAAAGATGAATGCGTTCGGTAAACATAAAAATAATATTAATTTTAACTTTAAAGACTTTCTACACAGGTAATCTATTGTCAATCTTCCTATGTGAAATACAGCGTATAAATGAATTCTTAAGCCATTTGTATACAAATACAAAAACTAAGATATCATGCAGATAGGTTATGACACCTACCATGTATCACACACCCTAAATAGCATAGTTAATTTCTTTTTGAAACTTGGCACATAATTAATCTTTCTCTTTTTGTCCTTTCAAAATAGGGCATATTTAACATTTTATTATTGTTTTGGTTACTTCTTCAAAAAATGAAGAAACATTTTTAAAAAGCATTTTCTGGTTTTTTAAATGGTTATCTTATGAAAATGATATTTTATTTTCTACTGTGTTTAAAAATTGTATGCAAGAATTTCGAATTAAGTATATTTAAAATAAGCAAATTTTTCACAATTTAAAATGTTCTACAAACACTATTCATCTTTAAAGTTGTAAATACTAAAGGCATATTTAGATTCATTTTAAAAAAATAGTTTTTCTGTGGAAATACGCTGAAAATCTAATTTTTATAAATTTAATATTTGTGAAATTAAACCGCTTATATGATTAAAAACATACTTTAACCTCTAAAAAAATGCAATAAAAAATATAAAATAATTCAAATTGAGTTGAATATAACTTAAAAACTTCCTTGTTAAATATTTTAATCAGCAATAACGATTAGCACTGCATAAATTAAAAACTCTGCAGTCTTGTATATTATTTGTAACCAGTAGGAACGGACGATGTCGAGCGAGCATTGCGGCGCCATGACAGACAACCGACACAGTTATCTTGACAGTTGCCGGGGGCAAGGTATTTTTATAGTCAGAACTTCAACTATCCAGGAGATAGCCCACCCCTTATCTACAACCACCGGCTACACCTTTTTCTTCGATAATTTTTCGTCTCGGATCCAAGCTGAGACAGAAATATATCCGCCTCGATGCTGGAGCTGTCAAGAAAGAACATTATTATGCGCTTGGATTATTCCTTTTGGCATTCTTAAAACTGCTGGTTGCGTGACTCCATGTGATATTTTAGTCACACTCAATCTTCATTATTTAAAATGTTCACGAGATCATATGTAATGCAAAGAAAATCGTACCACAGTTGTGACAAAACTGTAATAGTATAATAGTGATATTGAGATTAGTGAGAATTGCAATTTGTTTCCGGCTAAAACACTTTTAAACTCAAATTTAAAAAATTAATGTTAGATAACGAGTTTTAATTATTTTTTATTTAATTTTCCTATATTAATCATACACGTTTCCTCGTATATGCATTGTTTTCATTTAATAAATATTCAAAAGTGTATTTTATCAATTTAGTAATATAATGATGCAAAATTATATTTTGCTAAAATCAAAAAATAAAGTAAAATACTGCCTTGTTTGATTTCTTTCAACAGATTCACATTATCTTAAAAATGAATGTTATAAATCTATTTTAGCGCTTTTTTATTTTTATTTTTATGAAAAGTTTTAGCAAAAACATTTAGATGACTTTTCCTTTTTTTTTTTTCATAGGAATATATATGTGTTAATAATTATTACCGTGTAATCTGGAAAAAGCCCTCTTATATATTTAATGCAATCATCTCAAAAAATTAAAAATATTCAAGATCCAGGGAACGTAGAGAAAGGTAATTTACTTATGAATTAAATTATGATAAATTTATCTCAAAGATCTGGAGTTATTTATAAATTATTTCAAACTGAAATAATCAAACACATTTTCAAAACGACGTATTTGAGAAATTCGTGTCTTTCGTGAGGATCGTGATAATCAACTTGTACTTCCTGATGGTGATCAAAGAATAAAAGGAGGTTTCAAGTCACGAGACACGTGAGCATATCACCTGGTGATACCTAGATATTGTTATTGATTAAATATTGCATTGAAAACAAAAAAAAATTATTTTCGTTTACAGTTAATTTTCAAATATTGAGAAAATATTGATTAATTTTTATCTATATATTAACAATCATCGATGGCTGTTTGTATATGGCATTCGCTTATTTCTAGCTCTTATTTCCATAAACAATCACAATTTTCTCAAACCGTTTCCAAATTCTGCATAGATTCGTCTGTTCTTATTCAAATTTCGGAAAAATTCGCGGGTTTGCATATGAGTCTTGTTAACTAACATTCGCTAAAGCTGAAATCACGTGGCATGTTTATGTCATAAATCGTATTCTCTTTATGAAACGGAAATCTTGATTGCTTCGGACCGAAATATAACGAACCACAACTCGATTAAAGAATAAAAATTTATAATAAAGTGTCAAATATCCGTTGGCTATTTTGATATTTCTGTAATGGCGATTATTATTACATAATCATTAATAAATGAAAAGGTATTTTGGATATCAAAAGACGTTCAAAGCATAGGATAGTGGCCTACATTTTTAATAGTTTTTTTAAATTAAATTATATTATGTTTCGATGTAAAATACATTTTTGTTATTAGAATATTTGCAAATTTTACTTGAAATTCCGTATGATGCTTCCGGAAATTATAAATTATCTGTTGAAAAAAACATAGGCCTACAGTATTTCGGGAATTAGTATAACTATAATAACGGCAGCAGAATTTCAAAACATGGTTGGCCTTATGCCAATATGTTATTGATTTTAAAAGATGATAAAATCCTCAACTCAGATGATATTGATAATATTGTTTAAGCAGAAATTCCAGATCCACATACGTACTGTTAACACAACACTTAAGTCTACAACGATGTTCTGGTTCTATTTTTACACGTAAAAACATCAGCGTAGGCCCATTACTGTGAAAGTTATCTGAATCAAATCTTTTATCTTTGTGAAATATTACAAACCTCCTTATGTATCTTGTGTCTATCTTGTATCAAAAATTGAAGTTATAAATCTAGTAAATGTGACGTATTTATATAAAATGTGGTATAAGAGCTATATATGACCTATTTACTACTTTAAATATTTACATGGGATAAGAAAATTATATGAGGAATAATTAATTACATAAGATAAAGATGACTATTATGAGATAGGCGCCAAATATGAGATACCAAGGTTTTGGCCAAACTATTAACGGCAATTATTTGGCTCTAGTGTTTTCCGAAGCGTCTTGGCAATAGCTCCAAACGTGTGTCAGTGCACGCTGGCCAGAGGTGCTGTTAGATCGTGGGTGTGCAGATTTTCACAAAAGCACAAAACAAATTTTTTGACATTAAATGTTTACGAGGTATGTAACAACGTTATTATTACGCTAAATTCTTTTAATTTACATTCATTGTATCAATTATACGGTCAATTTCACGATATTAGTGCAGTACTATTGTTTTCTTTGTCAGCAAAAAAAGTAGGCAGCCGTTTTGTAAAATTTGAATGTGTTCCCAATATGAGACACATGAGGGTTCCTAATATGAGATATCTCATTTCATATATGAGGTGAAAGTATACGTATTAGTTTAAGTTCTTTTTTTATATATTTTAGATGGCCCCAATTAAAAGGAAAACCTGGCACCACAGTGCCATGATACGAGCCGTGGATGCAGTACGGAGCAATCAAATAGGTTACTTAAAGGCATCAAAACAATTCGGTGTTCCTAAGGATACCCCAGAAAAGGCCGGATGGCCAAGAGGTCACGGTGACAGCCTACCGCTCTGGGGGACCCGGGATCGAATCTGGACGGGTCAAGACTGTCCAGAATCTGGGGTACCCCTAGTATCTCATAATAGGAGACCATTTACCTAAGACGTGATTTCGGACTTTTTTCATTTTATCTAATATAACTAAAAATGTATTATGCTTAGGACTAAATAGCAATTATATTGTTAAATATATTAAATTCCCTATTCAAAATTGTAATTTGTAAAGCTCCAAGTGTAATAGTTATTTTTTTATAGTCAAAAATAAAAATGGTATCTCATATTCGGCATCCTTACCTTATTAAATATCAATATTAATGGATAACCTTATAGCCAGGTCTTAGCAATTTCTAATGAAATAAGATCTATTAAAATTACAGCTTCTTTTTCAAATTTGTTATAGTGTTTGATATAAAAATATTTCTCACTTATCATTATTATTTAAGTAACTATAAGTCTTATAAATGTACAGTAGATTTGGCTCTAATTGTAACCGGAAATTCACAGTGGATATTTTTTTAAAAGTAATCTGATTTGTCTTATTTAGTGACAAATCAAATTATATTTTCGTCAATAATAGTGACTTTTTCATGCTGTCAAAAAAATATTGGATTTGAATCAACACACTTTTCCTCTGTAATTTCTATTAGCACACGTGATCATATACAAACCTTGATATACCACTTGATTATTAAAATACTTTTTAAGTTAATGTCCTTGAAACGGCAATCGTTATTAAGATGTAAAGATAACTCACCGTCGTAGGTAACTAGCCGAAAATCATCGACCTCTTCTGCCCATGATGAACATAATGACACAATAAAGAGACAGAGGACAACACATATCTCCATTTCAGCAGCTGGAGAGTTGTCAGATTAGCAAAAAGTTTTTGGAAAAGATGAAACCGGCCGAAGCCCTAAAGTCGACGTCGCTGGTATCATGATAGGATTGTTTGGACTCCCACACCTGCCAAGAAAATATGATATTAGAATTTGGGAATAACTCCTCTATTCAAGATTATGTTTACTGCGGCGTTCCCAAAGAACTCCGTGGGCAATTCTGGGTGTGACCCAGTCTGCAATCTTAACTAAACGAAAAAATAATAATAATAAAAAAATGAAAAAGATTAACGATGACTGCAACACTACACTGACAACTGAAGGACGAAGTTTTCATTTTGCTTTCTCTTAAAATTTTAAAGGAATTTTGATTAAGCTATTGTAAGATATTCTCATATCCACGCAATCTTTCATCTTCTCTAATTGACCCATATAAGAGCGCATATGTTTTCCAATCAATCTATTTAATTATCGGTTCAAGTCACTTTTTTAATTTTTCATTTCATCAAAAAATAGTGTGTGAGAATTGTCCTGTAGGAGGATGATAGAGAACGGCACACACCCATCTGGGTGAGACTTCCTAAACTTTTTATTCCCGAGAGGGTCGGACTAAAAAATCACCCATAATTTAACAACGCCTTATAACTTTTAAAGAAAATTATTCTTCCAATATGCACGCTTCCTAACATAATTTATAAATAAGTTTTAAATGCTCTCAGTAAAAAAAAACCATTAGCATGTATTAATTAAACTTAGTTTTTATTACATATTTACAAAATACACAAATTATTATTATTATTATTTTAATAACATCTCTAAATTTTCAATATTGAAAATAAAATATTCATTACTATGAAATGGTTTTCTATTAAAACATTACCGAAGTATTTCGTGTATTTAATATCATAACTAACCACCGTAGCTTGTTTGAACAAGATTGCTTAGCGATAACAATTGTTGAGAGAGTAATCGATCATGGATGCCATAATTATTGGAGCCCGGTTAACTATTCAGTTATGCAAGTTTAATAGAACAGAATGCACTACATTGGAATATTATTTGCTAAATATTAATATTTATGAAAATAATTCTTATGCGTTTACTAAAAACATATACATAATATGTTTGAAAATTGCTTAAATGAATATTAAATCTTATTTCTATTCTTAAACAGTTTCTCATCAATAAAAAAAAATCATTAAATACAAATTATAAATTAGTGAGTTAAAAAACCCATGCAAGGATCAAGGAGAAAAAATGCATTTTATTAACTCGTTAACGTTTTTGTCTTTATGAAATAATAAGAACATAAATTCTGAAGGAAAAATACATTCATGTGTGGCCAAAAAAATGATGCATTATCAATTAAATCATAAATGAAAATTTTAATTATAATATGAAATAATTTAATAATAAATTATAAAAGAATTAGAAAACAAGAATAGACCGAAAATTGAACAAAAATACCGCATTTAAAACTTATTTTATATTAGAAATTCGCATATTAAGTCACATTTTCATTTAAATTTTAATAATAATTTTTGTCATCAAAATATTACATGATTAACATGCTAGCTAATTTCATTATTAGCAACACTTAGAAGGAATTTAAATCTACTGTTATCAATATGAAGTGATTTTAAATTAAAATAATAAATCCAAACGGTTCCTTCAAAATCTAAATTTTAAAGATGTTAAATAAAAACCCGAAATCTAAAATTAAATGAAAACGAAAGAGTAATTAAAATAAAATATTAGTAAACTTTATTTTCAAAAATTTTGTGAAATTCATTTTTGGTGAACTTAATTTAAAATCGTATAGAAAATTATATATTTTCCTATAGGAAAATTGGACAGCTTTTCTTTCTTAAATGGTAGGGAAATTATAATGTAAGATATTGTCACGAGATTACATCATTACATCGGGACAAATGAAGTAAAGAAGAAAGACTATATAATAAGGCCATCCGGAACAAAATCATAATAAAAGTGTCGGATTTACAACCATAAATCACTAAATAAATTAAGTAGTCAAAAGGGATAATAAACTCGAATAAAGAAGTTATGAAGAAGAAATTACTGCATTTGGATTAACGACTTTCATCCGTAAGCCTACCAATTTTCTTCGAGGCGTTACTTCTTAATATCTTGGACATGCTGATTTTTATGCTTTAGATAGCAAATGAAATCGTTATCTAAAATATATAATAAATATAAACATTAATGAAATATTTTTCTCTTATAAGTAGCTATATCAGTTTCATATAAGTTAAATGTTTTTAAGCTTGGGTCTATATCTTCTACACATACAAACAATATTAGTATAACTCTTCAATACACATAAAACAAATATTTTTTAATCGGTGTATTTTTTGCAAGTATATATATATACATATATGAATAAATATATTACATAGGTATTATTTATTATATATTATATATACATTTATGTATATAAATATTGCAATTAAACCTGAAATATATATATGTGTGTGTGTGTGTATAAATGTGTAGGTGTGTGTAGGTGCAATTGTATATGTATTGCAGGTTTATGATTCGTTACTTCTATAATTATCTTATACAGTAATGATAATTACGAAAACATAAAAAATAGTTTTCTATTCATTTTATGTGCATTTAATGCAAATAAAAATATAAAAATATCATTTCCATTAATTATCATGTAAAAGCATTCATGAGATGGAATAAAAAAAAAAAAAAGATCTATTATCAATCGCATTTTGATGAATTGATAATTGTGGACTTTCGTTAATTATTAATTCATATAGCTTTAATTAGAATTGATTGTCAATAAAATGCAATAAATTAATTAAATTAAGAAATTAAACAATAATAGTCTAATAAAAGAATACAATAAAAATTTAATAAAAAATAATAAATATAGCAAAAGGATTCTGAATCCCTTAAATATATTATTATTTATTTGTATTTAACAAAAAATGTTTAATGTTAATAAAAACATTTTTATTTGTGATTACATAATATCATAACGTCTAGAATTCTAGTTCACTAAATAGCAACGCAGAATCACGTAAAATCACGTAAAAACCATACATGAATAAGTAAAATTTTAATAAAGCTAAACTTAATTCAAACAGGATGGCTAAAACTGAAAGGGAATATTTTATTTTACTTCTAAAATTAAAATGCTTATACATATTGAATTAATTCTTTAATTATCACTTTCTGTTTATAATTATTGACATTTGAAAATGAAACATATAAACAATTCTAGATAATAATTTTAACTGTGGCTGGATTTAATTTTTTCATGCGATAGAGTATGCCTTGTAAATTATATAATAGCATCACCATAATAGAATTGATTATCGCTGAAGGAGGGGGAAAAATAAAACGATAAGCCATTATAGACGTTTAAAAAATTGAAACTAAATAATAAGGACAAAAAGCGACTGTTATATAATTCAGAGAAAGAACCCAAGCCGAAATGCTATGAAATATTATGAATGTTCCAATCGGATCCGAACTGTAGCCTGATATCAACAGTGAGCAACTATCCGGACCTAATCTATTACTTTGGATAATCATTTTAAAACTAATTAACTAAGTAAATATAGTTATTACACTAAACAATTTTAAATTCCAAACGAATAAAACTGTATTTTGGGTATTTTTAAAATTTTTATAGTTCAAAAATATTTTACTATTTATTCGCTATAATTCACAAATAGCATTCGTTAAAAATACCAAATGTGTAAAAATAATAACAAAATATAGGGGAGACCGGGGCAAGATCGGCANTAAAAGCATTCATGAGATGGAATAAAAAAAAAAAAGATCTATTATCAATCGCATTTTGATGAATTGATAATTGTGGACTTTCGTTAATTATTAGATATTAAAAGTAAAAATTTATTAAAATGCATAGCGATTCATATTAAATTTTAACTTGGACCCCTACTTTCGGATCTGGTTACGATATTACTAATGATAGCATTTATAATCTGTACTTTGATATGTAAATTTATTTGAAAAAAAAGATTATATTATTAAGTCTAACTTAAAACTTAATGCTTAAAGTAAATAAAGATGAATGCGTTCGGTAAACATAAAAATAATATTAATTTTAACTTTAAAGACTTTCTACACAGGTAATCTATTGTCAATCTTCCTATGTGAAATACAGCGTATAAATGAATTCTTAAGCCATTTGTATACAAATACAAAAACTAAGATATCATGCAGATAGGTTATGACACCTACCATGTATCACACACCCTAAATAGCATAGTTAATTTCTTTTTGAAACTTGGCACATAATTAATCTTTCTCTTTTTGTCCTTTCAAAATAGGGCATATTTAACATTTTATTATTGTTTTGGTTACTTCTTCAAAAAATGAAGAAACATTTTTAAAAAGCATTTTCTGGTTTTTTAAATGGTTATCTTATGAAAATGATATTTTATTTTCTACTGTGTTTAAAAATTGTATGCAAGAATTTCGAATTAAGTATATTTAAAATAAGCAAATTTTTCACAATTTAAAATGTTCTACAAACACTATTCATCTTTAAAGTTGTAAATACTAAAGCCATATTTAGATTCATTTTAAAAAAATTGTATTTCTGTGGAAATACGCTGAAAATCTAATTTTTATAAATTTAATATTTGTGAAATTAAACCGCTTATATGATTAAAAACATACTTTAACCTCTAAAAAAATGCAATAAAAAATATAAAATAATTCAAATTGAGTTGAATATAACTTAAAAACTTCCTTGTTAAATATTTTAATCAGCAATAACGATTAGCACTGCATAAATTAAAAACTCTGCAGTCTTGTATATTATTTGTAACCAGTAGGAACGGACGATGTCGAGCGAGCATTGCGGCGCCATGACAGACAACCGACACAGTTATCTTGACAGTTGCCGGGGGCAAGGTATTTTTATAGTCAGAACTTCAACTATCCAGGAGATAGCCCACCCCTTATCTACAACCACCGGCTACACCTTTTTCTTCGATAATTTTTCGTCTCGGATCCAAGCTGAGACAGAAATATATCCGCCTCGATGCTGGAGCTGTCAAGAAAGAACATTATTATGCGCTTGGATTATTCCTTTTGGCATTCTTAAAACTGCTGGTTGCGTGACTCCATGTGATATTTTAGTCACACTCAATCTTCATTATTTAAAATGTTCACGAGATCATATGTAATGCAAAGAAAATCGTACCACAGTTGTGACAAAACTGTAATAGTATAATAGTGATATTGAGATTAGTGAGAATTGCAATTTGTTTCCGGCTAAAACACTTTTAAACTCAAATTTAAAAAATTAATGTTAGATAACGAGTTTTAATTATTTTTTATTTAATTTTCCTATATTAATCATACACGTTTCCTCGTATATGCATTGTTTTCATTTAATAAATATTCAAAAGTGTATTTTATCAATTTAGTAATATAATGATGCAAAATTATATTTTGCTAAAATCAAAAAATAAAGTAAAATACTGCCTTGTTTGATTTCTTTCAACAGATTCACATTATCTTAAAAATGAATGTTATAAATCTATTTTAGCGCTTTTTTATTTTTATTTTTATGAAAAGTTTTAGCAAAAACATTTAGATGACTTTTCCTTTTTTTTTTTCATAGGAATATATATGTGTTAATAATT